GCCAATACCCAACATAGTGATAGATGGAGAAAAGATTGAAATTGTCAATTACTTCATCTTACTTAGATCCACAATCAACACCACTGGCACCACAAATCAAGAAATCAAGAGATATATTGTGTTGGGAAAGTCTCCTATCAGGGATCTTTTCTTAATGAGAGTTAATGATATCAGTTTGAAGACTAAGGTGTGCCTAATTCAAGCCTTAGTCTTTTCAATCACCTACTGTGCACCTGAGAGCTGGACAATAAATAGGAATGACAGAAGTCAATTTATACCTTTGAGTTGTGGTATTGGAGAAGAGTACTGAATACCTAATGAACTTCCAAAAGAACTAACAGTATGTCTTGGATAAGGTGCAGCGAGAGTGCTCCTTAGAGAGAAGGTGGTGAAGCCTCACCTCATGTACTTTAATCATTTGTTAGAAGTGGGTATTCCTTGGAAAGGGACATTATACTAGTAAAGTTGGAAGGTCAGTGAAAGAAAGGAAGACTCCCAGTGAGATGAAGTGACACAGTGACTGCAACAATGGGTTCAAGTATGTCAAGGATGAAGATTGCACAGAATAGGACAGAGTTCAGATCTGTTCTTATTAGGGTCACTATAAGTCATACTCAACTCCATGGCACATAACAGCAACAACAAAGAATATTCAGTATTCTTTGCCAACATCACAATTCAGAGTAATCAATTCTTATGTTATCTTTATTCATTGTCCAACTTTCAGTTGTATACAGAGCAATTGAAAATACTAGGACATGGACCAGGGAGCTTTGCTGGCCTATGGGTAAGAAACTGTGTTGTAATTCCAAAGGCACACAGTTTGGATCGACCAGTTGCTTTGTGGGTGAAGGTTAGACAATCTTCTCCTGTGATTAACTACCTCTGGAAACTTGCTGGGGAAATCACCTACGAGTTGGTTCTGACTTAATGGCACACAGCAACATGTCTGGGATCAGGTGCAGCTTAGTCTTAACAGTGACGTCCTTGCTCTTTAGCACTTTGGGGAAGTCCTTAACAGCAGATTTTCCCTTAGCAACATGTCTTTGGATTTCTTGACAGCTGCTGTCATAAAGTTGATTGTGGGTCCAAGTAAAATGAAATCACTTACAAGTTCAGTCTTTTCTCCATCTATCATAATATTGCCTGTTGGTCCAGTTGTGAGATTTGTGTTTTCTTTCTTTTTTTAAAATTTGTCATTTTTTCCATGTTGTTAAGTGGCGTAGAATGGAGTCTGACTCATAGAAATCCCATGAACAATAGATCTGAACTCTGTCCTATCTTGTGACATCTTTATCATGCCTGACACATTTGAGTCCATCGCTGCAGACACTGTGTCAATCCATCTCATTGAGGATCTTCTCTCCTTGGTTGGCACTCCACTTTTCTATACATGATGTCCTTTTCCAAGAAATAGCCTCTCCTAACAACATATTCAAAAAGTGTGAGATGGAATTTCATCAACTTTGCCTCTGAGAAACATTTTGGTTTCACTTTCTCCAACATCTCTCTGTTCTTTGGGCAGTTCATGGGATGTTCAGTACTCTTCTCCAGCAGTACAACTCAAATGCATCCGTTCTTCTATCATCTGTCTTCACTGTCCAGCTCTCAGATGCACAGCAGGTCATTAGAAAGACCACGGCCTGAATCAGGAGCACCTTAGTTTTTTGACTCATATAATTGCTTTTCAGAACGTTGGAGAGATCCTTAACAGCAATCAATCATTCACATTTATTGCATTTCATACATGTACTTTGTTTTACACTATTATTTATATACACTGTGTTTCATTCATGTACATTACATTTTATACATTCATCTACTTTATATTTTGCATAATTAATTGCCTTGATTTATTGCTATTATCACTCCATATTTTTAAGTCACATTGAACCTTTCCCTGTCCTTTATCCCTCTTCACCCACCAACTTCAACTATTCCAATACTTTTTCCTCCTTCTCCTTTTTCTGACTCCCTTTTGTCTTCTTCTCCCCTTTTGAACATTTCTACAGATCTTGCTCAGTTATCTTCCTATTTTAACAATTATTTGACATTTCTTCAAAAAAGCTAAACATAGAAATCCTATATGACCCAGCTTTTCTACTGCTAAGAATATATCCCAAGGAAATCATAATTGAAACATGAATAGACAGGTGCACCTATGTCCATAGCAGTGTTATTCTTAATAGCAAGAAAATGGAAACAGCCCAAATGCCCAACAAATGAAAGGATTGAGGAACTGTGGTATATCTACAAAATGGAGTACTATGCAGCACTAAGTAATAGCTATGTCATAAAATATTATATAACATGGAACAGCCCAGAGATCATTATGCTGAGTGAGAGCATTATGTGGAGTGAAATAATTCAGTCACATAAGGACAAATATTGCATAAGACCACTATTGTGAAATAATATTTGTGTTTTCTTGATGTTGAGAAGTAACCCATTTTGAAGGCTGTAGTCTTTGATCTTTTGCAATAAGTGTTTTTAATCTTCTCCTTCTGCAAGCAAGATTGTGTCACCTGCTTAATGCAGGGTTTTGGTGAATCTTCCTCCAATTCCAATGTCACATTCTTATTCATATAATCCAATTTTATGACTATTTTGCTCAACATGCAGATTGAATTTGTATGGAGAAAGGACACAACCCTGACACATACCTTTCCTGATTTAGAGCATGTAGTGGTCCCTTGTTTTGCTTAAGCAACTCCTTGTTGGTGCTTTCTTATACCAATCTATAGGTTAGCAGCTGAGGACAAGTCATTGACACCACACAGGGAGAAAGATGAACAATCTTTCAAATCCCTGTGCAATTTACTGCTTCTAAAAACCCACTGGAGGTTTGGGTATGAATTGGTTCTAACTCAGTACACTACAACAGGAAAAATTTTAAGAAATGGAAAACTTTCAGAATTTCAGTAGTCAGAAAAAAAACAATAAAGGAACAAATTTTTCCTTAAGAAGGAGATTGATGATTTTTAGCATAACTTGTTGAATGGCAAGCGTAGAAATCAGGGGAGGGGACGATAAGAAGGAGTTAGCAGCACAAATAGTCAAGGAGCTAAAAGTTTTGCTGGAAAATTAAATGGAAAGAGAAGGAAATAATATAGTAGACCTTGGCCTAGTGCATAGAGAGTAGGCCAGCTAACCCTAACGGGCATCTCTCCCCTGGTTCTAAACCACCAGCTATCTCTGCAGGAGAAAGATGAAGAATTTCCTCCTGTATGATTTATAGTCTTTGAAAATCTGCTGGAGGGTTAGCTATGCACTCCATGACAATGAGTTTGACGTGTTTTTGTTTTGTTTTGCTCTTTGTTTTTAAGAGGAAGCAGCAAGGTCAAAGGTAGATAGAGTTTTCTAAAATAAAGAATCCCTAGGAATTGTGACATTGATGTGTCAAATGGGAGAATGGTTACCCATGGTGGACGGTGTTTGGTGGAGCTCCTGGATTAAAACAAGCTTGGAAGCAGGAGTGCCATCGGAAATAGCTTGCCTGCAGAAACCCTATGAACCTGGAGAGAGGATGAAAGTTATACAAGTATCCAGGTCTTTTTTTCATAGGGTTGTTATGAGTTGCCTACAACTTGACAGCACTTAACAACAACAACAGGTACTGTGAAGATAGGAATAAATACTGAGAGACTGAAGATTTGGGGGTGAGTTGTTAGAACTGCCAACTTCAGCGGAGAGGAGAAGCAATTCCTCCTCTGAGACTGAAGGGCAAGACAGTGAAATTTTCTTTGTAGCATTGAGAGAATCAGGGTAAGTTTTATCTGTGAACTCCAGGTGAGCTCTTATGAGGCAGCAGAGATGATGATATCAGACCACAGAGAGACCAAGTACCAAAAGTGGTCAAAGGATAAAAAAGGTCAGCCCATCAGTAGGCTCAATGAGATTATCAACCCATTCTGACCCACACCCCAGAACTTTCCTAGGTCATCATGTGTATCTATGTTGGGGGCCATGGTGCAAACTTTCAAAGCAAATATAAAATCCCTTTGTTTTTCACTTCTTCCTGGGAAGCAGTGGTACAAAGTTGCAGAGACTACAGGAATAATCCAAAGACTATTTTTGTCATATAGTAACCAAAACACAGAAAAGATTGAAGGTTAATTAATGAGTATTTAGGAAGAGATAAGAATTTCCTAGAAGTCTGTGGTTGTGATGCGGAGTGGGGGGTTGTTGTTAGCTATGTCCTGAATATACCCTACCTACATTCAGAAGAGCAACACTAGAAGCCTTCCTGCCAAGTTCCTCCCAAACTCACATAATATTTTCCTCTATCCTCCACTTGAGAATACAAGGGACAAGTAAGAGACTTGGATGGATTTCAGATGTGGTTCCCTCTCTGATCTCCTGTCTGAGAAGGGATGGGGCAGTTGAGTACCCCTGCAATGCCCATCTCTATTACCATCTAGATCTGGGATTGCAGTGCTGGGAGTATATAACCCAGCAGTGAAAGCCCAACTTAGAGTAGTTGTCCTGCATCTCCAGCCTGGTGATAATGTGTGTTGAAGAGACCTCAGTGTGCACTTGGAGAGCAGAGTAAGTGCGTTTGGCGGGAGAGGGCACAGTGCTGACTGGGCATCTTTGCGGTGGAGTCTCCCCTTTCGCGTTAGCCTATCTATGCTGAGAGCTGACAAACTGGGGCTGCAGGCACGAGGCAGTGAGGCAGCCCGAAGCACTGACCCTTTGGCCCTGAGGCTGGGAGAGGAGTTAGCGGGAGCCCTGGGCACCAGCCAGGGACAGCCTGCTCTCTGCTCCAGTCCACGAATCCTTAACGGATTTTCTTTCTCTCCCTTTCACCCTTTTCTCTCCTTTGCTCTTTCTTTCTCTCTCCCTCTTTTTCCCCCTTTTTTCCTTCTCTTTCCCCTCCCTCCCCCACCTTCTTCCCTTCTTCTCCCACCCCTCCCCCTTTCCGAGGATCCTCTTCCTTCCCCTCCTCCCCCTCTGCGCCTCTCCCCCTCTCTCCCTCTCCATCCTTTTCTCCCTCTCAGCTCGCCGGGCGACCCTGCTCTTGCCTCCCACATTAATGGCGGCATCTTCGGAGGATGATATAGACCGGAGGCCCATCAGGAGGGTCCGCTCCAAGAGTGACACGCCGTACCTCGCGGAGGCCAGGATCTCCTTCAACCTGGGCGCAGGTAAGGAGGACTTGTGCGCTGTGCATTCACTCCTCACCCAGCTCACTCCTCCCCGCCCTCCTCCTGGCCGGTCCAGCCCCCATACTGGTCCCACTCTGCCCTCCCCCCTCCCCGCAGGGCGCCAGGCGCTCACTCTCTTTGTGTTGCGGGTGTCAGGAGGGTGTGTGTGTAAGAGAGGGATGCGGAGGTGGGGGAGGGTAGTGCGTGGAACCCCATATCCGCCCAGGAGCCACAGCGGGGCTTTCCCTTCCTGCAGAGAGGGAAGTATTGTCAGTGGTAACAATGATCCCATCCATTGGCCACAAGAGAGGTCAGGGTGAGGGTCTGCAGGCTGGGCGTGGAGGCGCTGCCCATGCTCCATTTGGCGAGTAGGTTTGCTGGCAGGGCTGCCACGAGGTGGAACTTGTTGGTGACATTCAGACTCTGGTGGTTGTGACAGGTTGGTAGTACTGCTGTGTGTTGGAGTGAAGAGGGGGCGGGGTTGACTCCTTGAGAGTGGAACCTTTCTCTCTCACCAAACCGCTGGAAACCACTGTGACAATACTATCCACAAGACCGAAGGACTCATGTTCCTTCATTAGAAGCTGGCTCTGGAACTCTTGTCCAAAGTGACCCAATGCAATTTAAGGGGGGTGGGGGAGTGGGGAGAGAGAATTGCTGAGATGACCGAAAGAGGATGAAAGAAGGAAAAGGACAATTTAAAAAGAGTCTAAATCACTCTCACTGAGAGCTCTCAGGGGTTACCTGCGGTTCCCAATACTGAGTTTTGGACTCCCACTCACAGGCAGACTTCATGCCTCTTTTGCCCCAAGTAAGTTATCACTACCAATGGGAGAAAGTTGTTCACCAGTAACTTCACAGTGCTGCTTCCCTCACCCCCAGCCTTGAATGACTCCTGTGCCCCAACCTTGGCTTGTGTTCCTTCTTTTTCAGAGTTCCACAGTATTCTAGACATTTTGATACAAATGAAGTGAGGGAATTTTCCTAAAGGCGCTGTTTAAAAATAAGTTTAAAAAGCAGATGATGATGAAGCCTTTTTATCTAGGGAAGTAAAAATCCTTTTAAATGAAACCTAATCAAAAAGGGTGTGTTTGTATGTGTACAAGTAGGTGGTTTGGGGGTGTGTATTTACACAATGAGGAAATTCAAATGATGGGTATTCATGCCCAATGAGAAGTTTAGAGAAAAGGAGAATGATATGCTCAAAAAAAGAAATGTTCTGACTAAGCACCTAAGAGCTCAGGTTGGGAGAATGGCAACAACAGCCAAATTCCTTGAGTGTAATTTTCCCATCTTGATGATCCGAGCTCTTGTAATCATACATAAGCCTTTATTTTTGTCAATGTTTATCTCAGGCCATGTAAAAGGGGACTTCATTGTGAAAGCTTTGGCACACTATGTGACATACTGCAATATTCTATGGCACTCATTTTGGAACTGTTGAAACTCTAACTTGTATGCTCCAGGCTTATCATATTGTTGTGAGACATCTTGTAAAGGATTGTGAAGAGTTTGTTTTAGGATCAAGATTGTTTTTCCAGTCCAGGGCATTAGAAATTGTTATACCGATCCCTTTGCTACCAAGATTCCCTTAGGGTGTATTAGACACAGTAGATAAAGATGGTTTGCCTTCTGTTAGTACTTCTAACAAGCAAAGAAGAATAAAACATTTACAAAGTGATGCAAGGGTCAGCTACAGCTGAGAAAAGTTGAGCTATTTTGTTACTCAATATGACTTGCAGGCTTTTCATCTGGTTAAATTATTCTGGAGGTTAACCAATTAAAAGACTGACCCAGGAAGTATTTGTCTTAATTTCCTTTGGAAATAAATTCACAGGATTTCCTTAGAACCTTCTGCCAGGTCCTTGAAGTACCCTTAAATGCAAAGTAGCAAGAAAGACACAGTAAAAAAGAAAAGTGCGTTAGAGAGGGTGTTGGGAAGGGAGGGATAGCAGTCTCAGCAGGCCATACTGCAGTAAGGGAGCTGTCCTTCCCTGTGGTACTGAAGCCAAGGACTCTAATAGAGATGTGACTGTAGCATGGACATTGGAGGAGGCGGTATGCAGTGCTCTGTGATGGCATTCCAGGGAAAATGCACAAGGCCTGGCTACGGAAAACTTTTCTATCCTTGAACTACTTCTCATGCCTACTGCTCCACAGCTCAAATCGGGTGTTCTTGCTCTAGTTTCATGCCTGCTCACTCCTGGGGCTTTGTTTATTTTCCAGATGGTTTCTGGTTGCTTTCCTGACAAAGTAAGATCTGCTTGCAGATGTGCCTTCCCCCACCCCTACCCCCATTTAAGAGTAATTGTAACTCCTCCTTATAAAAGCAAACAGCCTTGTTTATCTCTTTGAGCAGCAAGTTGTAATTAAACTATTAGTGTCATTATCACATTGCTTGAACAGAGGAATCTGTACATTCTGGGTTAATTACATACTTTGGACACAGAGAATTTGGTTTGTCTCTTGACAACAATTTATTAACAATTAAGCAAGGAAGCTGTTTCCTACCTCTTTCCTGCCTCTCCATAGTCATTGCTTATTCTTCCCAGAGAAAATCTTTGATATGAACTATTTGTGCTTAATATTAATTTTCACACATATTCATTATATATTAATTCATGTGTAGTGTTTAAGAGATAGGAAGTACATCGAGGAAGTAAATGTCTATTTTTCATTTTACTGAGGTATCTTAGAATCATTTGGGGTATACACAGTGCTCAATGAAAGTACACATTCTGAATACTAATTAAATATTTAAGCATTCCTTCAATTACACCCACTGACAATTCTAAGCAATATAATTTCATAAACAACTCCATAACTTGTGTGAAAGGTCTATTTCTTCACCAAAAGTCCTAAGCAATTCAAAGAATAGTATCCAAATATGGATCTTTCATCACTTTATGAAGATGTTAATTTCAAGGTTCATCTTACTGTGAAAAAGAGAACAGAAGTTTCTGAGACTTGAGTGTTATTTTTCTAAAGAGCCCCCTTCTTAGATTTTCAAAACTTCTGCTCAGTGAAATGTGCAACAATGAATGAATGGAAATCTCTATAAATCTCTATAAACTTTCATTAAAATCTCAATAAAAAATAATTCTGCCCAGCCCTTAATATTTATATAAATATTGACAAATAGTCATTTGCTGAAGACAGGAGAAATGTAAAATAAAATTAATGCATTTGCTGAAGGTTATACAGACACACTGACCTCACTTCAAGTACTGGAAGAGGTTTATCCTGAGAAATTCAAATGCGCTAAAAGGGCATCTTATAAGAGAAGAGTTTGTTCACACTATTAGTAGCAAGTGTTTTAAAATTATATTCACATTAATGAATATCACTGACTCCATCTGTCTTAGGAAATCATTCATCCACATCTATGTCCCACAAAATCGGCCACAAAAAGAAAAGTTACAGCTAATGCACCAGACATTTTCTGATAAGGTATTGAATTCCTAAACATAAATTGCATTATTCCCAGTATATAGGAAAGATTCTGATACATAGAACGTGCTAAACAGAGACATCTTAGTAATTACACATGAACGTGTTAGATAAATAGAAGATTTAGGCACATCTAAAGTTACTTAAGGGAATGCAAAAAAAGGAAGATTTATCATCCCCACTGGGGACTTTTTTAAACACAAAATCAATGTTGGGCATTTTTGAGAAGAATATTCAATACATTTTTTTAGCCATATGGAGATTTATCATTGTTAGCATTTCAGAATTGTTTTGTCTGGAAAATTTTCAAATTAAAGTTATCCCAGAGTACACACTCACTCCAGAAAGATGAGAACTCTTTTATCTCCTACTGTCATCTAAAGATAGCTGTTCTGACTTCCACAGGTTTCTTCTATTCTTTAAAGGGCCAGAGATTACTGGAAGTCAGAAGTGGGTTGGTCTGAATAATTATGAAATGGATGGGGCAGCCAGATTGTTACAAATCGGATGTTGGAATATCCTTTATCCCTTTTGGAACTAAGAAAGAAGACTTTGATCACGTAGCTGAATTGTAGAAGTCCCTAATGTTGAGAACTGGCAGTCCAAAATGTACTATTATCTCTTTAGCAATGAGATCTGTCCCTAAACAAAATAGTGACTATTGTTATAATGAGAGAAAGACTATATTTTCTCAATTGAAAGCTCCTGGCAAGCATCCTCTTTTATTCTGTCATTAAAAAATGTCCTCTTCCTCTTTTTCTATGTATATGTAGATAAACAGATATAAAGATAGATACATAGGTGTACATAGATACAGAGAAACATAGATAAGTATGCAGAAAGATTTATTGAATTAAATGTATAAGTAGATTTATTGATTTCAAATTTACTCCGTCACATATATGGTTCTAGCTCTTATTTGGCGTGTCTAGTCTCTCTTTTCAAGTATTATTTCTCACACTCATTAACCAAATAAATGACCACAGGTTTCTGTTAGGAGGGAAGGCATCTGAAATTCTGTCCTTCTTCTTAATTTGATAATGTGAGTAAGGTGGTGGTAAGGAAGTCAGCCTCAGTTAATATAAATAATATGAACAAGTTACAGGAAGGTAACTAACAATATGTGATATGACACTTACCATCTCATAACTGAAACAACAAATTTTAAGATCATTTATGGGGAAATCTGAATGAAAAATCTTTCTTAAGTGATTACTGTTTCTTAGTGTCTTTGGTCTAAGCTTTATTAAAATTCCTAAACAACTAAACATTGTACTGTTGCCTAATGATTTAATGTTAAATTGTTTGTTTGCTTTCTATATATGTTCAAATAATTTTATTCCCTGAAAGATTATGGAGGTTTTTTTCATAAAAAATGTCAAGAACCTGACTCACATCCAGAAGAACCTAGTATAAAGATGCTTGTCCAGTAAGACTTAGGTCAAGTTATATATTCTTTCTAGGCTTTGATTCACTTATCTCTAAAGTGAAGGACATAGGCTAAAAAAGATGGTCAAGTCTTATCCAGTCTTTAAAGTTTATGTGAATAG